TAAATCAATTTAAATTAATTTAAATCAATTTAAATCAAAGTTAATAAAAAAAATTAAATAAATTATAACATAGATTAAAATAAATAATTAGCACTTCTTACGGTTCGACCTAACATAAAAAATATGATGAGCTAACTTATAAAAACGACAAATTTAGATTTTCTGACACCTTAACAGCCTTGTCCTCCACTTTAACTCCAATTTCGACTGCAAACGATCGTCTTTCGTGCATCGTCGGTGCCTTGCTGTTTAGAGTTATAACCTTAATAGTATGTTCAAGTAGCGATAAATATTGATGTACGCGGATTTTATTTGTCTTTTTTATTTTAGAGTGAATTAATCTACGAAGTTTTACTTCACTCTTTTTTTTAATACTTAGTTTTTTTATGCTACTGACATTATTCCAAATAACCTTATTTAATGATTCTTTCGTCATTTATAACCGAGATACAGGTAGTTTTATTAACTGTGCCAATTTCTTTTTTGTTTCATAACTTACTAACCACCCTTACATGTTATTGAAATTTGGCACATGTATTCTCTACAACTTACTATAATCTATTAACGTATTAATAAGAAACAAAATGCAGTTCCATCTTTTCAAAAAAATTTAAAAATTTGTCTATCCTTATAAGAACACACTACAAGTCGTTAAATTTGTATCCATATTTGGAGGAAAAAGCACAAAAAAAATAATTATATGCTTTTAATTTTTACTAGATGATTTTATTACTAAAATTAACTGTTTTTATATTATTTTTAAACTAAGCACATTTTTAAAAGTTACATGTTATGCGTGTACACTACAATAAAATGTACTTACAAGTCCATATTTATGACCAAATATAATCATTACTTTTTAATTAATCACTGCATGCCGTACCAACATCATAGCCGCTAGACTCTAGGCAAAATTGATTCAAAGCATTGCTTTTGGTAGGTACTGATAGGCACAGATATATAAAAGTACCAACATAATATATAGCTTTTAAAAATTCAGTTGGAATTAAATTATCCTCATTATAACGTATTGAAGTTACCCCTTTAGTTTCATTTTTTATCTCCAAAATGCTCAAAAATAACAATTTAAACGTAATATTTTAGCAGTAAAATCATTGTACAAAAACATGACTAATTTTAGTTTTTTCTGGTCTCTTTAAATATGGAAACGAACTTAACTAATTCAGAAATGTACTTTTTGTGTAACTCAAAAGTAACAATTTGAAATTAAAAATGTTTCTAGTAAAATTTGATCCATTCAAAATAATGATTTATATAAAAATGCTCTAACTTTTAAATGCGGAGGCTTATTTATTTAAAGTTTTTAGCAACTTTTAGATAAAATACTGTTGTTTTAAGATTATTATTCGGACATCTAAAAGTAATTTAGTACTCGCCGGATATACTTTTGACACACCCTGTAGGTTAATTCTGCTAGTAGATCTGCATACAATTAACTTTATCAAGAAGACTGATTTGTTACCAACACTTTGTTTTTTATTTACCCCGATATCTTAATTTTTTGTGAAATGTGACGGTTTAAAGAAAATGCTACATTTTAGAAACGGTCATAATTTAAATGACGGTAGAGAATAAACTACAAAATAAGTAGAGTGCTGTGGCCAACTCACAATATGACAACTGTCAAATATTCGTTACTTGGCAATTGCAGTTTAATTATTATTCATTATCAGCATAATATCATGGTTTTAACGCTTACTGATGCAACATGAGCAGTTGCTCTGGTACAAGACGGTAGGACTCAGTATTATACTTCTAGAATATTGGGTGTTACAAGGTGTAGCGTCCAGAGAGCTGTACAAGGTTTTAATGAAACTGGTAGTTTTTCGAGACGAAGAGGATCTGGCAGAAGACGTTCTACAAATGTTCGAGATGATCGTTTTGTAACATTAAATGTTTTGCGAAAAATAAATACTACTGCTGTCATAGTTCGAAATCGTTTAGAAGAAGTACGTCAAGTAGCTCCAGAAGACCTGCAACTGGTCCGGAGTTACTTAGGAATCACAGAACAACACGTCTTCGATTTGCCAGGGAGCATCAACATTGGAATATCGATGAATGGAGTAAGATTTAATTTTCTGACGAGTCAAGGTTTTGTTTACGTTCTCCTGATGGCCGTGAAAGAATATACCGAAGAAGAGGCCAAAGGTTTGACCAAGCAAATTTTTCCACAAGACTCAGTTATGAAGGAGGATCGGTAATGGTTTGGGGCGGCATAAGCATGGAAGCTCGTACTGATTTAGTCATTGTTGGCGGCGGAACAATGACAGCTTTCCGATATATTCGTGATGTGCTAGATCCATATGTAATTCCATTTGCACCATTTATAGGAAACGAATTCATGTTTATGCATCACAACGCTCGACCACATATTGCGAGGATTGTATCTCAATATTTAGACGAAACAGAAATTCAGAGGATGAACTGGCCATCACGTAGCCCAGACCTCAATCCAATTGAGCACGTCTGGGACATGATGGACAGACGAGTTCATAACCGAGTTCCTTTTCCAAGTATTTTAAATTTTTTAAAAGATGCTTTGGTCCAAGAATGGGATCAGATTGACCAGATGAAGATTCGATATCTAATAGAGGGTATGCCATAACGCATTGAGGCAGTTATTCGCGTTTGTGGGGAAAATACTCGTTATTAATTTGTAATAATTATTAGTGTATTTGTTGTTTGAGTTATTTATAAAATTATGTATTACTCTGCTAAAACTGAATAAACAAATTAAGATTGTTGCATTTTCTTTAAACCGTCACATTTCACAAACAAATTAAGATATCGGGGTAAATAAAAAACAAAATGTATGTTGTAAACAAATCAGTCTTCTTGATAAAGTTAATTGTGTGCAGATCTGCTAGCAGAATTAACCTACACGGTGTGTCAAAAGTAGAGGAAAAAATTGTTTTCTTTTTCCCCCTGTATATCCGGCGAGTACTAAATTACTTTTACATGTCCGAATAATAATGTTAAAACTACAGTATTTTATCTAAAATTTGCTGAAAACTTCAAATAAATCAGCCTCCGCATTTGAAAGTTAGAGCATTTTTAAATAAATCATTATTTTGAATGGATCGAATTTTAAATCGGTGAGTGTAGTCTATGCGCAAAAATAATAAAGACCGCTGGATTTATGTTTTGGGTACTTCTCAGGTAATGTTAGGTTAGGTTTGCAAACTGGTCGTGTTAATGCACTTGAAACTGGAGAATCAACCATATAAGGTCGATAGATACTTAAAGTAGTATCCAACGAACATGTAAAAGATATTAGCAGGAGGCCGGCGATAACTTGCTCAGGTGGTGATTTTAGTGGGTAAAGGGTAAAACTATTGGGAAAGGGAGAACCTGTACCGAATCTCTATAAGGGATTTCTACATATCAAAAAAATATCAAGAAGTTACTTCATCGAAAACTATTTTTTGGGCCAGTGTATCTAAAAATATACACAATCGAAAACTAAAAAGAAAATAATTTGAAAATGGAATGAATTACAAATTACAAAACAACAATAAAAATCACATTGGAATAAAAAACAATAAGAAATCGTAGAATTTGAGGGTCGGCTTTGGCGCTGAACGTGTTAAATGTTTAGGATGTAATAAGATACTTAATTTAAAAATGTATCTATATACTTGCTGGATGTTATAAGAATGGCAGTTTTTCTGTAGAAATGGTATACTGTGACGTAACAACTGGATGTCACAAGATGCAAGGTTTTTCTGGATGTCACAAAGTGTTGTTAATAAAAATATATACCGTGTATACTTTGGATCTCACAACGATAGGACGTTTTATTTTTTTAAAATGTGTATGGTTGTGATATTTTTCGCTCAGCCATAATATTTTTTTAATTAAAAGAAGTCATATTTTTATTTTTTTCCTAAAGTCTTTGCAAAGGGTGGATGTCACAAAGTCAAAATTTTTGCTGGATGTCACATGATACGCTGGTCGAGTATATATATATATATATATATATATATATATATATATATATATATATATTGATGTGGTTTCCTGATTGGTCATGGGGATCAGGAAAGATATCGCCCAGTGTATGTCAAGGTGTAGTTATGATGTATTGATTAGAAATAAAAAAAAAAAAAAATGTTTTTGTTATGTTGTTATGGAATTGTGATTTTTTTATGGATTGTCAGAGGGTGAGGTATTGAGAGTTGATCCTTTTGGGATTGATTATTTTTTTTTGAAAATTGTTTCTTCTCTTTATATAAAGAGAAAATCACCGAATTTAAAAGGAAAAAAATCACAAAGTCCAGAATCTGATGTATTCATTCTGGAAATAAACACACATATTTGTAAATGGAGTATCATTTCGTTGGGATACAGAGGTAGTTCCAAGATACGAGCACAGCGGTTGGTGATATCCAAAGAGGAAGAAAAGAAAAGATAAGTAATTTATTCATTGATTAAATAGAGGTATTTTGGAAAGTCTAAGTGACATTAAGACAATATTTTGACATTATAAGTTATTGAAATTAACAGACAGTAGCGTGACACAAACCAGAGGTAAAGGGGAGAAAGCAGAGAAGCTGACGAATATTACTATTTCAGAAAGAAGGGGGTTGTGAAGAGTTGCAGTTCGTCAATAGCTGTTCGGAAAAATTAATTGTGTATAAAATTTATTAATTGATTGGACAATTTTTTTTTAGATAAAAGAAACACACCTTCTGGAGAAATTTTTCCAGGTGCTCTGGCTAGTCGGGGATTAAATCCATATTAAATTGCGCCCAACGTGGAGGGCACATCCGAGTGCAGAGGTGTAGAGGCAACATTCTGTACATAGAGCATAGAGTGTTATATTATTTGGTAAGATTTTTTTTTTTGACCTTTTTGTTGAAACATATTTGCCATTTGGGTATTTAGACAGTTGGTAGTTAGCATCAGGATCAAAGGGGTATAATTTAGAAATTGTGACTTTGTGACTATATGTCATCTTAATAGTTCCAGGGGGTATATAGAATATCATGGATCTTAGAGATGGGAAAAAAGTAGGTGCTGGAGAGGATATTGAAATTGTTGAAGAGGTAATAGTGGGAAAAGCGCAGAGAGAGGAGTCAATTGAGAAAGAGGATACAATTATGAGTATGTTTGCTATGATGATGAGTAGGTTTGAGGAAAAGGAGGAAAAGGCTAGGGAAGATATGGAAAAGATCATGCATAAGTTTGAGGAAAAGGAGGAAAAGGCTAGGGAAGATATGGAAAAGATCATGCATAAGTTTGAGGAAAAGGAGGAAAAGTATAAAAAAGATAGGGAAGAGTTAGGGATAAAGATGGATATGTTAGTAGTAGAGGTTGGTAAGGTTAGTAATAAGGTTGAGGACATTGGTAAAAGATTAGATGATACTAAGACTGAACTAAGACAAGAGATAGAATCGATAAAAGTAGAAACAGATAGGAAGTTGGAACAGAATAAGAAAGATATTAGAGAAGAAGTAATAAGTAGGATAGATGAGATAGAAACTGTGCAGGATGATAAGATAAAAAAATTTGTGGGAATAGAGGTTAATGGGAAGTTAGTAGAGGTACAGGAAATGGTAGATCTGAATAATAAGAGAGTGGATGAAATAGTTAAGGGAATAGAAGACAGGGTACAAGTAATAAAAGATATAGGTGATAGGAGTATAGGTTGTGTTCAAGTGGGAAAAATGGAAAATAGGTTTGACGGAAATATATTTAAAATTCATCCTAAGGTTTTTGTCAAGATAGTTAAAAATAAAATACGAAATCTGAAGAGTATCGATGACATAAAGGAATACATCAGGGAAGCAATAGATAAAGATGTAGTAGTATGGTTTTCTAGTAGGGAGAGAGAATTTAGAACATATGAGGATTTTGAAAAGAGTTTCTTAGAGTGTTATTGGGGGGAAGTGGTTCAATCAAATGTTAGGGAGAATTTATATTTTGGAAAGTTTGATGATAAAAAAAATATGAAGTATAGTCAGTATGCTTTGCAATTATTTAACATTGCACAGTATTTAGATCCTCCCATGAGAGAGGAAGAAATTATCCGATATATTGCGAGACATTTTAAATTTGAGATCACAGAAACAATTATTTTACAGAATATTAAGGACATGAATATGTTGAATAAATATTTGTCGCGAATAGAACAAGGTTTAGGAAATAATTTATGGGAAAGAAATTGGTATAGTGGACGTGTAGAGAGGCGTGGAATAGAATATAATGAGTTAGTAGAGAATCAGAATAGGTTTACACCTGGTCAGGGCTATTATAATCGAAATTACAGAAATAGGGGGGATTATAGAAATGAAATGGGTAGGTCAACGAATTATCAAGAAAGAGGAGATAGGGATAGGACCTCTGGAAGTCAATGGAGAAATAATCCTAGAGAAAAGAATGTAAGAATGAATAGTATACAAGTGACAGGTGTAGAGGAAAGAAATAGAGGACAGAATGATCTTCAAGATCAAAGGGGGGAAGAATATTTTTTAGGGAACGGGGAGCAAAATTAAAAGTAAACATTTGTAGATATGAACATCCAAGAGAGTTCATAAAAGTGGGGGAAAATTGTGAAAGTATTATAGAGGAGTCAATGGGGTTAATATTTGTGAAAGGTAGATTAAATGAAAGAAATGTAAAGATCTTAATTGATACAGGATCAGAAGCGTCATTACTGAATAAAAAGTTAATGGGGAATGATGATAAATCTCTGATAAAGATACCAAAAATCCAGTTAGTAGGGGCAAATGGAAAAAAATTGTATGAAGTAGGGAGAACGATCATTGCAAATATTGAGTTAGGGCAAAAAACAAAATTAGAAAGTCAATTATTAGTTGTAGAAAACCTGAAATATGAGCTGGTGATAGGAGCGGATATTTTACATAAATATGAAGTAGTGGTGGATTATGAAAACAGGGAATTAGGGATTCAAAACGATAGGATATCTTTTGATTTAGAAGAGAAGGCAGAGAGGAAGATAGGATTTGTTACACAGGTCAATGTACAAGAGATAAAAAACGAGGAGGTAGTTGATACATCGTTTGTCTGTGAGGAGAAATATCAGGAAAAGGTTAAGGAATTAATAAATAAATACAAGGGTTTAGTGATGAAGGAAATGAGGGTAGCTCATAATTATGTTCATAGGTTTAAGGTAAAAGGGATTGAAAATTTTAAGGTGAAGACATATCCGATTCCATATCAGTATCGGAAAGATGTGAATAAGGAATTAGAGAAGTTGTTAAAAGAAGGCATAATAGAGAAATGTGATTCAATGTTTATAAGTGCGTTAGTAGTTGTAAAAAAGGCTAATGGGGATTTAAGGCTGTGTCTGGATGCGAGAAATATCAATAAATACTCTATTCCACAGTATGAAGCACCAATGAATATTGAAGGAATATTTGGTAGATTGACAGCAAGTTGTTATTTTTCAAAAATAGATTTGAAACACAGTTTCTGGTTAATTCCTTTAGATAGGGACAATAGAGATTATACGGCTTTTTCTGTAGATGGTGTAATTTATCGATTTTGTGTGGTTCCGTTTGGACTGCAAAGTTCTTGTGCAGCTTTGGTTAGAGTGTTACATCAGATATTTAGAAAGTATGAGGAATTTGTAGTACACTATGTAGATGACATATTAATATTTTCTAAGAATGAAGTGGAGCATATAAATAATGTAGAAAGTGTTTTGAGAGAATTGGATATTGCAGGTCTCAAGATTAATCTAAAAAAATGTCATTTTTTTCAAAAAGAGGTAGTATTTTTAGGATATAAGATTAATGAAAAAGGGATGCAAATGGATGATAAAAGAATTGCAGATATAATGGGGTATGAAAGACCGAGAAATTTGAAAACTTTAAGAAGTTTTTTGGGTGTTTTGAATTATTATAAAAGAATGATACCTGATTTGAGTGAAAAAGAAAGTATTTTGATTCAGTTGTTAAAAAAGAATGAAAAGTGGGTGTGGACGGAAGAAAGAGAAAAAGCGTTTCAGAATTTAAAGTTAGAATTTAGTAGGGAATTAAAATTGTATCATCCAGATTATGGAAAAGAGTTTATTTTGAGGACAGATGCATCGAACGAAAAGTTAGCAGGAGTATTAGTGCAAAATCAGGAGGGAAATGAGGTGCCGATTTGTTTTGTATCAAGGGTTACAAAATTGTATGAGAGGAAATATAGTGTATCAGAATTAGAGTTAGCTAGTATTATTTTCTGCATAGGGAAGTTAAGATTTTATTTATTAGGAGGGAAATTCGTGATAGAAACAGATCATCTTGCACTGACCACGTTGTTAAAGAATAGGTTTGGTAATTGTAGGATACATCGGTGGATACTAATGCTACAAGAATACGATTTTGAAATTAGGTATATCTCTGGGAAAATGAATTTTGTGAGTGATGCGTTCACAAGAGATAGTGGAAAGGGTAAATCAAAGAGAATTGTGAATATTGGAGTAAATGTTATGAAGGAGGAGAAAGGTTTGTTTTCGTTGGATGAAATAAAAAAAGATCAGAAAGATTTGACACAAGAAGAGAAAAACAGGACAATGGTATATGATGAGGTGTTCATTAAAAGATGTGAAGAAAAGGAGTTATTTGTGGTAACAGCAGGTTTGAGCAAAAGGATTATGACACGATTACATGTAGAAAATGGTCATATAGGGTCTCGCAAAGTGTGGTTGGTATTTAGGGAAAATTATATTGGAAAAAAGGATAGGTTAATTGCAAAGGAAGTCACTAGAGGGTGTGAGATTTGTCAATTAGCAAAGGAGAAACAGCACAAGAATCAATATATGGTGAAAACGGTAGTATCGAATAAATGTCTGGAAGTAGTGGCCATGGATTTTATTAGTAATTTAATTAGAAGTGTGGATGGTCAGTCAAATATTTTTATTGTGGTAGATGTATTTTCAAAATTTGTTAAGTTATATCCGACAAAGACGATGAAATGTCGAACAGTGATGAGTATATTGAGTAAATATTGCGTTGAGATAGGTGTTCCAGAATATCTTATTATGGATAATGCTACATATTTTAGAAATAAAAGGTTTGAGAAATTTTGTAAAGATAAAGGCATAGAGTGTAGAGTGACTAGTATAAGACATCCGGCAGCAAATCCAGCAGAGAGATATATTAGAGAGGTTATGAAGTTCTTAAGGATATTGGTAGGAGGTGATCATACGCAGTGGGAAAAGCGATTGGATGAAGTTGAGGGTTTTTTAAATAATGTGCCAAATACAATTACTGAGGAAAGTCCGGTATATGTGATGAAAGGGGTGTTTCCAGAGCGTAAATGGACAGATAGTAATGGAAAAGCATATGAAACATGTTTAGAGGAAGTCAAGAAGAAGGAACAGAGAAATGCTGAAAGATATAAGCATAGGATGAATAGCAGAATTAAGAAACGAGTAAAGTTCAAAAAAGGGGATTTAGTGGTAGTTAAGGCGTTAAGGGTGTCGAGTAAAAAGCAAAAGACATGTGCGAAACTTCAGTTGCCGTATGAGGGCCCGTATATTGTAGATAACGAAAAGGGGGAGAATAGCTATATTCTGAAGTATAGAGATAGTAAAAAAATTCGTGGTATTTTTAATATACAGGATTTGTATTTATATGAGTTAGTAGTTTAATAGTTCATAGGTAGATATTTGATGTAGGAAATATGTTAACCAAATGGCCAATATGTGATAAACATTAGGTTTGGAGGTAATGAATTTGTTTAAAAGTTAAAATTTTTATATGTACAGGATGTTGGATTTACATCTGTGCATATAATAATTTGGGGGATTTGATGTGGTTTCCTGATTGGTCATGGGGATCAGGAAAGATATCGCCCAGTGTATGTCAAGGTGTAGTTATGATGTATTGATTAGAAATAAAAAAAAAAAATGTTTTTGTTATGTTGTTATGGAATTGTGATTTTTTTATGGATTGTCAGAGGGTGAGGTATTGAGAGTTGATCCTTTTGGGATTGATTATTTTTTTTTGAAAATTGTTTCTTCTCTTTATATAAAGAGAAAATCACCGAATTTAAAAGGAAAAAAATCACAAAGTCCAGAATCTGATGTATTCATTCTGGAAATAAACACACATATTTGTAAATGGAGTATCATTTCGTTGGGATACAGAGGTAGTTCCAAGATACGAGCACAGCGGTTGGTGATATCCAAAGAGGAAGAAAAGAAAAGATAAGTAATTTATTCATTGATTAAATAGAGGTATTTTGGAAAGTCTAAGTGACATTAAGACAATATTTTGACATTATAAGTTATTGAAATTAACAGACAGTAGCGTGACACAAACCAGAGGTAAAGGGGAGAAAGCAGAGAAGCTGACGAATATTACTATTTCAGAAAGAAGGGGGTTGTGAAGAGTTGCAGTTCGTCAATAGCTGTTCGGAAAAATTAATTGTGTATAAAATTTATTAATTGATTGGACAATTTTTTTTTAGATAAAAGAAACACACCTTCTGGAGAAATTTTTCCAGGTGCTCTGGCTAGTCGGGGATTAAATCCATATCAAAATATGTATTCCCTAATGACTTCGTTATCTGTGTTTAATGGTTTTAAAATGTGTTTCAAGTAAATAAACGACAGACGGGTTACATATTGAATATTGCCAGCACAGGCACAAAGACAGTTGAAAACTGACTTCCGACGAAGTTAGATTTGTATCGCTTTAACTATTTACGATAATTATTTTATATTTTATAAACACTTTTTCGTATAAGTGCTCTTTTCTGATATACGAGTAGGTGTTCATGTGTGTGCCTTACAATTTGGTAGTGGTAGTGCATATTCGACGAGTTATATTTATTGTGTAGTATATTGGGTAGGAACTTTAAAAGTTTATTAAATAGTAAAATATTGGTGTCTTTATAAAATTAATAAAAACAATTTAATAGTAGAATTATATTGTTACAATAGTAATGGATTCAGAGGCGGGTCCAAGTAAAACCCAATTACGTCGGCGAAAGCCCTTATCAAAAGATGAAAAGAACATTATTTAGAAAGTGTATGATGGGCTGAAACAGACACTTCCTACAAATGAAGCTGTAAACCGCAGTTCGTTTTTAACTGGAGTATCTGTTTCAACAAGTGAACGTATTGTACGTGAAAAGACAAAAAAAGGCTCCTTAGAAGCCCCTAAAACGCATACCCGTGATCGAAAATTGTTGACATTGGACGAAAACCAAAAGCAAATCATTCGAAAAACTGTACATTCTTTTTTTTTTTTTTTTCGAAAACAAAGCCCCAACACTTAAAGTTGTTCTTACGAAATTAAGAGAAAACGAAGAAATCCTATTAATGAGCCGTGAAACTTTACGAAAAATTTTATGGGACCTAAAATTTCGTTTTGTCAAACGGTGTAGGAAATCAATTTTAATTGAGAGGTCAGATATAGTGTCCTGGTGACAGCGCTATTTACGAAATATTAAAGAGTTTAGAGTCGCTAAAAAAAACATATACTATCTCGATGAAACGTATTTAAGATATGGCAAGATACTTCTGTAACTAGTCATCGCCAAGCTTTAATAGAGGGATTATCCATTACCCATATCGGAAGTGACGGTGGATTTTTGGAAAATAGCGCTCTTGTGTTTATATCGAAAAAACAGGAGACTACCACAAGGACATGAATGCGGAATGTTTTGAAAAATGGTTTGCTGAAGTATTACAGCGCGTATAAGGAAATTCAGTTATTGTACTAGATAGCGCTTCTTATCACAGTCGACGAGTTGAACGCATTCCGATAATGTCCAGTAGGAAAGGGATATGCAAACCTGGCTGCGGGATAAAGCAATAACATT